AGGCAGCACACAGGAGTAAAAATCAGAGTGGTAAAAATACTACCTATGGGGGCGCCTGGTGGTTCAGTGGATTAAGCCTCTGCCTTCGGCTCAGGTCATGGTCTCAGGGTCCTGGGATCGAGCCCCACTTGGGGATTTCTGTTCAGCAGGGAGCCTGCTTCCCTCTCTCTCTGCCTGCCTCTCTGCCTATTTGTGATCGCTGTCAAATAATAAATAAAATCTTTAAAAAAAATACTACATATGATATCATAATGATGGATACATGTCATTTTATATTTGTTCAAACGCACATAGAATGTACAGCACCCAGAGTGAACCATAATCTAAACTATGAACTCCAGGTGATAATGATATGTCAATGCAGGTTCATCAAATGTAACAATGTACCACACTCTGGTGCAGGGTGTTGATAATGAAGGGGGCTATACATGTGTTGGGGCCAAGGGCAGGTAGGTAATCTCCCTATCTTCCCCTCAGTTTTGCTGTGAACCTAAAAATGCTCTAAAAAATGAAGTCTTAAAAACAAAAAAAGATACCATTTATTATAAAGGCAAAAAAGTGAAAGGTAACTAGAAACATAACAAAAGATTAATAAAGCTCATATTGGGAAAAATATATCAGATGTATTATTTGCTATTCAAGAAGATAAAATTAAGAAGTCAAAACATGCTTGCAGGTAGGAAGACTTAAATTTATAAAAATGTTGTTTCTTTCCAAAATAATGTAGAAATTCAGTATAGTAAGATTTTTGCTAGAATTTATTTGGACAAGAAAAAAGATTAGCCAAAGCAATATTTAAAAGGAAGAACAAAGTGGAAGAATGCATTATTAGATATCAATATGTATCTTTCTATTATTTTTTATTAAGTTATGTTAGTTACCATATAGTATGTCAGTACAGAAGAATCTAAAAATGCCCATGGAAATATGGAAATTTTGTAAATGACAGAGCTGGACTGCAATAATTCATCCCCTGAAATATGATTATATTTTAAAAGTTACCTTTATGAAAATAATTGATGAAAATTTATAAATTTGTATTTTTGATTGTGTACCAATAAGGCAGAATTACTACTCAATTCAGAAGAAAATTTTAATGTCAGAGCTTATGAATACAGTAAACTAAAACAAATACATTTTAATTATTTAAATTTTTACAACAGAATGTGATCAATGACTGATTTTTTTAATGACTGATTTTTAAGTATACCGTATTTTTAAATATTTATTTGTATTTATTTATTTATAACTTCAGTATACTATATTCCTGAAATTATGATATATCAAGATAATATTCGAGGGTAACATGGAATAAAAATAAAAGCAGGAAAAAAGGAAAGATGATAAATTTCTCAGAAGAATTCATGAATGAATTTTCTTTTAAATAAAATGATTATGAGTACCAAAAACTATAGTAGTTAGATTCCATTAGATACATTTAGAGGGTTATATAACAGGTTTTTTTTTTTTTTAAGAGAAATATTTATAGTCATGGGAAACCAAATCAAAACACCAACAAAAACAAAAGTGGTATTACTTTATGATTAGATTGAGTTGATATTAAGGCAGAAAACATTCTAGAGATGAAGAGATTCAATGTCCTGTCAGGATATAACAATTCTAAAATCATAATATACCTATAATACAGCCTATGATATGGAAAGTAAAAATTAGCAGAACTAAGGGAAACTTTAAAATGAAATGCCTCTTGCTCAATAACTGATAATAAAAGAAGATAAGAAATGAAAAAGGAAATAGAAAATTTGGGAAAAAACAAAACTAGGAACAGAAAATTTGAATGACATGATTAACAACCTTGACCTAATTTATATATAGGGAACACTAACACTATACTCACTTCAGGGCAGAACAGACATGCTTTTCAAAAGATGGGAAATATTTTATAAAATTGACTATATGCTGAATATGGTCAAAGGATTAATACCATGGAGAATGTGCTTCTGACTTCAGTGAAGGACACTAGAAATCAGCAACTGGAAGGGAACTATATAACTAGAAAATGTCTAAAACAGTTCAAAATAAGAGTCAAAGAAGCAATGACAATGAAAATATTACATACTGAATGATAATTAAAATATGATCTATAGAAATTTGTGGCTGTGATAACTTTGTAAAAATTGTGTAGTACCGTCTATGAGATAAAAATGAGTATCACAAAAATAAGCCTAAAAAAATTCTGTTATTTTTTTATCTTCTTATTTTATTTTTTTTTTAAAGATTTTACTTATTTATTTGACAGACAGAGATCACAAGTAGGCAGAGAGGCAGGCAGAGAGAGAGAGAGGAGGAAGGAAGCAGGCTCCTTGCGGAGCAGAGAGCCCGATGCAGGGCTCGATCCCAGGACCCTGGGATCATGACCTGAGCCGAAGGCAGAGGCTCCAACCCAATGAGCCACCCAGGCAGCCCCCGTGTTATTTTTTTCAACAAATTTTAGTATCTTGATGAAAGGGAAAATTTTCTAGAAAATATCCATTAACAGAATTATTCAGGAAAAGGACAAAAACTTGAATAAAATAATCCTAGAAGACATTTAAAAAATAGGAACTATCTCCTCTTCCAAAAAGACCTAGACCTAGACCATCTGGCATATGAAACACTTTCAAACCTTAAAGGAAGAGATAAAGTTTCTATTATGTAAGCTCTTGCAGAAAAACAGAAATGGCATAAATTTATTTACAAATTTAAAAATGTTTAAGTAATTTTTAAGTAATAAGATATATTACAAACATTATTTATTAAATAAGATAATGCTAGCTTCTTTTTTAAAAATTAAAAATATAAAATGGCTCAAATATCATGAAAAAGTTTTTTGGTCACTTTTGTAGCTCCTATTCCAACAGTAATTCTGAAAAAAAGTAAAATTTTGTGGGAGAGACAAAAATGTAATTAACTTAAAATGCCTACCTAGAAGGGGCACCTGGGTGGCTCAGTGGGTTAAGCCTCTGTCTTCCCCTCAGATCATGATCTCAGTCTCGCATCGGACTCTCTGCTCAGCAGGGAGCCTGCTTCCCTGCCCCTCTGCCTGCCTCTCTGCCTACTTGTGATCTCTCTCTGTGTGTCAAATAAATAAATAAAATCCTAAAAAAAAAAAATGCCTACCTAGAAAACCCAAGACAACTGGAAAACAGGGGAATAAGGGAGTACAATAAAGTTGTATTGTACAACATACACTCAAAAATTACTATCTTGGGGAACCTACTGATTCAGATGGTGGAACATGAGACTCCTGATCTTGAGGTTTTAAGTTCCAGCCCCACACTGGGTGTAGGGATTACTAAAAATAAAGTCTTTAAGAAAATTAATATCTTTACTAATTATCAATTAGAAAGTATAATTGCGGTGTGCCTGGGTGGCTCTGTGGCTTACAGCCGCTGCCTTTGGCTCAGGTCATGACCCCAGGGTCCTGGGATAGAGCCCTACATTGGGTTCCCGGCTCAGCGGGAAGCCTCTTTCTCCCTCTGCCTTTGCCTGCCTTTCTGCCTGCTTATGTGCTCTTTCCCTCTCTCTCTCTCTGACAAATAAATAAATAAAATCTAAAAAAAAAAAAAAAAAAGGAAAGAAAGAAAATATAATTGCTAAAAAAATCCCATTTCCAATAGCAATAAAACTATAACATACCTATTCAGACTAACAAGAAATATTTAAGACAATATGAAGCAAGATACAATTTTCTCTTTCCAAAATATCAACAAACACCTAAATGAATGGGGGAAATAAACCATGTTCATCTCTCCCAAACCACTCTCTAAATTCAATGCAATTCCAATTTTAAAAAGTCCCGATTAAATTTTTATTACCACGGCAAAAATGATTCTAAAGATCAACTAGAAGATCAAAGCCAAGAAGTTAAAAAGAAAAAAATTAAGGACTTAGCCTACCACATAGCAACAAACCTAGAAATAAATGCCTAGAATAATTAAAATAGTAATGTACTGGTAGAGAGAAATCAATTAATGGAACAGAGCAGTGAGTCTAGAACAGGTCTGTGTAATAGAGATTTAGTATAGGATAAAGTCTGTATTTCAAATTAGTGGCAAAAATGAAGAAGGATATTATTAAGTAAATGATTGTGGAACAAGGGCAAGTAGTTATCTCTCTGGAGCCCTAACTCATGCATAGACAAGAACAGATTTTGAGTGAACTAAATACATAAATTGGGAAGACCTTCCTGAATGATACAATAACACAGAAACTCCATAATGAAAAGGCCTGAAAAATCTCATATATAAATATAAATGTCATAAATGTCAAAGTTCTTTTTTTAAGATTTATTTATTTTGAGAGACAGAGAGTGGGGGAGAGAATGGATGAGGGAGGGGCAAAGCAGAGGGAGAGAGAGAATCTTCAAGCAGATTCCTCATTGAGTACAGAGTCCAAAGGGGGGCTCAAGCCCAGGATCCTGAGAGCATGACCCGAGCCAAAATCAAGAGTCAGATGCTTAACTGACTGAGCCACCCAGGCACCCCTAAATGCCAAAGTTCTGTAGAACAAAGGATGTGTTGAAGTTAACATGCTTAACAATTACATTTTACATAAAGCACAAAAAAGGCAAAAGAGGAGGCAAAAGAATACTTAAGATCATGACCTGAGCCAAAACTAGGAGTCGAATGCTTAAGGAACTGAGGCCACGCAGGCAGAGGCCACGCAGGCACGCCATCCTTCATGTTGATCTGGATGCTGATGTATGAGGATGGTTCAGACTGTAAAATTTCAGAGGGTATACACTTACGGGTACTTTCTGTGATAAATTTAGGGAGGAGTAACATGAGGAAATACTGAGAGAGGAGGAACAGAAGAGACCAAGATGCAATTTTACTTTTGATTTTAAATTAATCTATGTTTGCTATATGAAGAAGTATCTGTTATTTGCATAATTTTTTAAAAGTGAAAAATGAGAAAAAAGGCTACATCTATGACATATAACAGTCAAGACTTAGGATCCAGGCACAATCAAGACATTTCCATAAGGCATACCCTACCTGTGAATCTAATACGCTGGAAATTTCACGTGCACTGACATTCACTTCGTCCAGCTTCAAGCAAAACAAGTTTCTGGCAACCTGGACAAAATCTGAAATGGAATGCACTTCAGTAGGAACATGGCATTTAACCTCATCTAAATACATCTTACCTTTTTCTAAATGAAGTTGAAGCTATGCGTGATAACTAACACTTCAAACTTAACTTTTCAGTGGATTACCTCGAAGTGGTATTAACTGAAGCAACAGAAATACCACCTCAAATAAAAAGTGAGAGATAAACTGGTTTTAACTAATCTCAGTTAACTTTGCTGAGGTTAATAAGTCAGTTAAGATAACAACAAAGCACATACATGTCACAGGCATATCTATTTCTGCAACTCTTTTACCATGAGCAAGAACCTCTCTGAAACATAGGACAATATTGTGACTTGCAGCTTTTCTACCAGGAGCCAGAGGTTTAATAATAATAATAGCAGGCGCTAATATTTATAGCACAGCCTCTGTGCTCAGCACAGTGCTTTGCTATTTTATCCCCCCAACAATTCTCTGTGATAGGTCCTCTTATACTCTCCATTCTACACATGGCAGCTAAGACAAGTTAACGGCCAACTTCCCACGGCCACATGTTAAGTTAGTAGCAGACCAGAATTCCATTTAAGGTCTGACTCCAAGGCATATGATATACTCTTAACAACTGTTAATTAAGACTGCCTAATACTGGGGCGCCTGGGTGGGTCAGCAGGTTAAGAGTCTGCCTTCGGCTCAGGTCATGATCCCAGGGTCCTGGGATGGAACTCAGCATCTGACTCCCTGCTCAGCAGGGAGCCTGCTTCTCCCTCGTCCTCCACTGCTCCCCCTGCTTGTGCTCTCTTGCTCTGCCAAATAAATAAATAAAATCTTAAAAAAAACAAAAACAAAAAAGACCCCCCAAAACCTGCCTTATTGCTGGCTAGCAAACAAGCTTCTTCAAACATGAGTATGACCCCTTCATCTATGCATCTTCAAATTTTTTAACCTTAGCTATTACACTTTTAATTTCCAAAGATCCTTTTTTTGTATTCTCTGATGGTTCCTATTCTACAACATCCTATTCTTTATTTCCTGGATGCCTTATCTTTGTTTAACCTCTTCAAAGATGTTCACTATAGTTTGTCTGAAGTTCTCTCCTGATTTTGCATTATTCCTCCTTTTTCAGGGTTCTGTTTTTCTCTTTGTCAGAAAGTTTTGGGCTCTTCTATTTTACGTTGGAGAATTTCTCCAAATGTCTGGTGACCCTTGGCTATGAGTTCACATTTAAGAAGAATCACCACCAAAACACTGATTGGAAATTTTGTGTACATAACTTGCTTTGTCATCTGGCCAGTTTCACTACAGAGTAATCAGGGGGCCAACTGACATTTTGGTGCAGCTTCTTCAGCGAGAATCTTAGAGTCTCTTGCCTACAGAGGATAAACATGACTGCAAAGTTCACTGAGCAATCTGAGTGTGTGTTGTGATAACTAACCATACACTCCTCCAAATTCCCTGACTGCTGGCAACTATAGGTTCAGAAGCTCTCTGGTTTAACTTCTCAAGAGAATATACTTCTTTTCTTTTTAAGTATAAGGACTGTTACATCCTGGGCTGTTTGAGAGGGGACAGGTAACAGCTCAACAAAAACTTCTTATGCAGATTTTTAACAACCCTATTTGAAATGCCCTGCCTACATCTGGCCTTCAGAAGTACCTGATACTTTTAATTCCTAAGCCTTTTTAGGGGCAAATCAGCTTATTTCCTATTGTGTTTCCCCCATTGCTTTAGGCTGGGGGAAATATCACTTGGGCTTCTGGCCTCCATTCACCAATTCATTGACTATCCTTATCCACATTCCGTCCCTTCATATCATGGTTTTGGTTAATATATGCAAATCTGTTTTCTGTTTTCCTCCCTATTTGGGGTAATTTTCAAACAGGAGAGGAAGGCAAATGTTTTTTTTTTTTCTATCACTTTGAAACTAAAAAGTGAATTTCTTTTTAGTAATACAGATACTTTAAAAATGATACAATGTTGCATCTATCGTATAAGAAAAAAATTAAATACTGAATGTTATCAACGATATAAAAAACTGTTGTATTTAAACATTACTAGTGGCAGAATAAATGCCTACATATAATGTCTCTTGCAAACAACTTATGAATACCTATCAAATTTCTAAACCACTTGTGGGAATTTATCCTAAGAAAAAGAAGGAAAAAAAACTATGATGTTAAATATAGACTTATTTATACTATCAGCTACTGAGAAACCATCAAAATTCCCTAAAGAAGAAAGGCTTTATATTATAGTACATCAACTAAGTATGTCAATATTACACTAACTTTAATAAGAATAATTATATAGCATCATAAAAATATTTATTCTGTCATATTAACTGGAAAAAAGTATGAAATTTCACAGCAGTAGAATTAGAAGTTTGATATTTTATATTGTTTCTTTTGTTATTAGTGAGAAATGTTTACATTTCTCTACATTACAGTAAATAAGAAACAAAGAAGGATAGAATGAAAGTATTTTCGAGCTGGAAGATTCTAGGAAAGTCGCCTTTCTGCTGACCCAGCCAGGCCAAGTTAATTCTAGACAACATTTTAGGGTACTGACCAAGGAACTTGAAATATATTTGGTCTTTTTTTTCCCTCTCTCCTTCTAAAGAAGATGCACTCTTAATGAAAATAGGTCACCATAACTCTCCCACCAAGCTTCTGTGATGACACAACACGATAAACCTAATATTACCTCCAAAAGACACTGTCCCCTTTGGGTCTACTTGCACTTGCTGTCTCAGGGCTTGATGCTGTTCCTTTGTGGGATGAATTCCAAGATAATCTAGAGCCTGGAACGAAAAGGACTTATGTGAAGTAATTTTTCAAATCTCTGAAGAATAAAACTTTTCATTACAACTTTATTTTACAACCCAATGAAAAGAATCAATATCAGGAACAGGGACCAGGATTACATGCCCAGAGAGAGTCTGTTGACTATTTATGGATTAATTTTCTATAAAATATTAGCTTCCCAATTCTAACACCACCTCAATTTTTTGTGGTTTGCTTCTTTTCTTTTTTCTGTCTCTTTTTTTGCAAGACTAGCACTTTGGCTGATGCCAAATTTATAAGCATAGCTCTAAAACCAAAACTCAATTTCTTAGCTTAAAATATGTGATTATGGCAGAAGAAAAAATAGCAAGGAAATTCTATTAAAGCAGATTAAACATTAATTTCCATAAGTAGCACTACAAAACATACCTGTTCATGTATAGGTGGACGGGCACAGTGAGAAGAGACAGGAGAAATGGAGATTAGGAAAGAGTCATGGATTCATTCAATAGTGATTCTAGAGCTTAGCTAAGTATCATATTCCTGCTCCGTCTACATGGTCATAAATATTTGCCTTGTATAACATGGAATAATGGTTAACTTTTGGAGTTCTTTCCCTTCAGTTACAAAAATGTTCCAAGCACACAGACATACACAGAAAGACAATAATACAAAAAACATCCATGTACTCAAATACTCATTGGTATTTGCTTGAAATTATATATATTTTTAAGAAATAAACATTGCAGACTTGGTTGAAAGCTTTCGCTGTTGTTCCTCAGCAGGAACAACTATCCTAAGGTGGGTGTGTGCTTTCTGTCCACGATCTGATACCATTACTACATGTGTTCCCTAATGTTATGTACTCCCATGTACTTAAAATTTTATATCAATAGTGTACTATAAACATTCTTATTTATAAATTTATAAATTATTTGTTCACAAATTATTGTTTTTACCTCCATGTTATGATTTTGTAATTGCTCAATATTCTTATCTGTGAAACTACTTCACTTAACTTTAAATGGTATGCCACTGTATAAATACAAATTATATATTCTCTGATGGATGGGCTTTTATCATTACTCCAGCTTTTTAAAAAATTACAAAACATTATACATATCTCCTTGTATGGAGGTGTGAAAATTTCTCTACAGTATATCCCTAAAAGAGGAAATGCTGAATCATATGTAGTGTGTGTGTGTGTGTGTGTGTGTGTGTGTGTATACATATATATACTGTCAATTTTAGATATTATAAAATTATTCTCCAAACTGGCTGCAGCAATTTATACACACCACTGGCAATAAGACCTATTTTTCTACATTCTTAAGAGCATTTGTTGTTTTCACACTTTAAATTTTGTCAATATGTTGAATAAGATCTGGATGCTGTTGAATTCCTTTAGTTACAAGTGAGATTACACGTCTTTTGCATGTTTATTAGTGAAGTTTTTGACTCGTAAATCAATTAGCAATATGTCTTAAATTTTTACACAGTTTTGAGAAGTATTTTTTGTTAGTGATTTCTAATTTGGTGATGTTCTCCCAAATATAGAAACAAAAACTGTCTCTAGACATTGCAAAATGTCCCTGAGGGAAGGGGAAAAAAAAAAAAACTTCCTTGAGAACTACTTCTCCAGAGACAAACACTATTATTAATAGTTTGGTGTATAATTTTCTGAAAATTTTCTATGAATATAGAACCTAAATATTAAATATACATAAATTATGTATTTATTTATAATAATTATGCTATATAGTATTATACTTTTTTTAAAAATTGTCAATATATCATAGCTTTCTGTTCTGTACATTTTTGCATCTTTTGCATACTTTTCAAAACTGGTGTAATAGTGCCTTAACACTCAAGTATATATACTTCAAATTTTGAATGTAACAAAACATTACAAATTATGCCTCCATCCGAAAGGATGAATACCCAACTTTTGTAGCAACATGGACGGGACTGGAAGAGATTATGCTGAGTGAAATAAGTCAAGCAGAGAGAGTCAATTATCATATGGTTTCACTTATTTGTGGAGCATAACAAATAGCATGGAGGACAAGGGGAGATGGGAGAGGAGAAGGGAGTTGAGGGAAATTGGAAGGGAGGTGAACCATGAGAGACTATGGACTCTGAAAAACAATCTGAGGGTTTTAAAGGGGTGGGGGGTGGGAGGTTGGGGGAACCAGGTGGCGGGTATTAAGAGAGGGCACAGATTGCATGGAGCACTGGGTGTGGTGCAAAAACAATGAATACTGTTACGCTGAAAAGAAATAAAAAATTAAAAAAAAAAAGTCCCTTTTGAACTTCTCCCTAGAGGTAATACATCTTATACATTTGGTTCAATATTCCTGAGTATTTTATTATATAATATCTGGTATCTACTAAAAACAAATATGTAATAGATATACATGTTTTAAAGCAGGGCAATAAAATAAAAATTCCATGAGTACATTTAAGAATTATAAAACTGCCAATAGGGCTGAATTCACGTCATACTCCTGTCCTACTACACAAGAGATAACCACTACTATTGAACTGTGGGATTATCATCCCCATATGACTTATTTTAAGATGCCTGGTCACATACATAGGTATCCCTAATGTGTTATTTTTTTTTGCTATGTTTTAGCTTCATAAAAATGCTGCAGGTAGTCATAATTCTGAAACTTGCTTTTTTCACCCTATAGTATGGTTTCATCATTCATCTGTATATGCTATTTTAACATCAGCACATTCATTTTCATTGATAAGTACCTGATTAGATGAATATGTCACAATTTACTCATCTACCCTCCAGCACACTGAGGCTTTCTGCTTACCAGGAATGTTAACAATGAACATTCTTGTGCACATCTACTCGAGCACCTAGATACAACTTTCTTTTTTTTTTTTTTAAATAAAGGTTTTTATTTATTTATTTGACAGAGAGAGATCACAAGCAGGCAGAGAGAGAGGAAGGGAAGCAGGCTCCCTGCTGAGCAGAGAGCCCGATGCGGGGCTCGATCCCAGGACTCTGGGATCATGACCTGAGCTGAAGGCAGAGGCTTAAACCACTGAGCCACCCAGGTGCCCCTAGATACAACTTTCTTTAGGGTGTATACTCAGGAGAAGTATTGGTGGGTCTTTTTTGACTGACTGTAGGACATTTTTTTGTTTAAGATTTTATTTATTTATTTGACAGACAGAGATCACAAGTAGGCAGAGACACAGGCAGAGAGAGAGAGAGGAAGCAGGCCCCCCGCTGAGCAGAGAGCCCAATGTGGGGCTCGATCCCAGGACCCCGAGACCAAGACCCGAGCTGAAGGCAGAGGTCTCAACCCACTGAGCCACCCAGGCGCCCCTTATTGTAGGACTTTTAAAAGTATTTTGGATAGCAATATTTTATATTATGTTTATTACAAGTATTTTCTCCCAGTTTTCAGCACAACTTTTTACTATTTTATATTTTCTTTATGGATAGTTCCCAGGCATGTTTGCATACCATTACTTCATGTTTTTATAAACACATATAATAGGGTATCTGGGTGGCTCAATCGGTTAAGCATCCAACTCTTGATTTTGGTTTGGGTCATGATCTAGGAGAAGTGAGATAGAGCCCTGCGTCGGGCTCCATGCTGGGTGTGGAGTCTGCTTAAGATTCTCTTTCTCCTTTTCCCTCTGTCCCTCCCACTCTTCTTCCAAAAAAAAACCAAAAAACAAAAACAAAACAAACTTGAAATTTAAAACAGATTGTCTCTTGGGGAGAGGGAGAGGTGTATATGATCAAGAAGAAACACAAAGGCAATGTCAAAAATTCCGGTTCTTAGCTGGGTGGTGGGTACAGGTGGGTTTGTTTTATTATTCTTTAAACTGTACATATACAGTATAATCAATCTATGTATGACTGATGTTTTCATGTAAAGAAATAAAAACAATTTTACAAAAGTAATGCAAACAAAACACCTGTCACAGAAGGTACGAAATATGATTATTATTATACTAAGTATAATGGAACTTTATCAAGTACAATGGAACTTTATCTGGAGCCAAACTTTAGAAATTTACTCTAGATGAAAACAGCATATTGGTGAGGTAAGCTCATAAATTTAAATGGAAAATAATTTATTTTTGGTCAAAAAACAAGTTCCAAAAATTTCTTGAATAAGTAATGGGATCTTTTAACCTTAAGCAAAAATGCAAACTGTTTAATGGACAAATAAAAGTCCTTAACTCTTTCTAATGTCTGAAGGATGAATTTTAAAAATGTCACTTCTTTACAATATCCATCCCATACTTCCCAACCTAATATAAAGAACAAGTCATTAACTGTAATCAGACATGGGGTATGCCATTGCTCACTACAGCTTTCTTCAAACGCTACAGAAATGGCAAGAGGTAAAGTAAATATCAGCACAATGGCATCTGTATCCCAAAGCATCTTTCTCAGGTATAAAAATACACGTATAATGGAAGTACAATAATCCTTGGTCTTCGAGCCAACTAATAAATTGTATACCTACTTGCTGTGTTTACCATGCCTACTTATGAGTCTAACATTAGGATTAAATGAGACCCACAATACTCAGAAAAAGGCTTTAAAAATATAGCACTGCAAATACCTATGGTGAAATTATTTTAAAATATCTGTATATTAAATCATTCTCAGAATATTCATAGAAAGAGGCAATCCATTTTTCAGAAAAGGAATTAATAAATAAGTAGTTTAGCATTAGAAATTATTTTCTAGTATATCCTGATACAAAACTGGTTACTTAGACTGGTGAAACATAGAGGATTTCATGAAGACAATGCCATAAATATATGTATATATCTTGACAGGTAATTTCCTTTAGCAAATTCTAACTTTTTTCCATTTTTCTTGAGAATTGTACTGAGTAGGCTATTTACTTCATAACCACTTGATTAGTCAACACCTTTCCTTGTGGAATCTTATTATAACACAAATTTCCTAGATGCTATATGTAATATACTTATAGAAGATAAAGGAAAAGATAATTTTATTTCATTTTAAATATTTGATCCCATTGGCCTGATCTGTTACTGAATAGTAAATACGTTAAAAATATAATAGATAATAAAATTGAATCTGTCTACAAAATAACAACTGAAATAGAAGGACCTATTTCAAAAGGAATGATACAGATATTATTACATTATTATGCAACCAAACAAAAAAGGAAGAGTAGCTTAGCAAATATTTGGGTAAATAGGAGCTAATTTGGATTCTGGAAAAAAAAAATTCTTATTAAGGAAGATGCTGTTTCATACTCTGAAAACACAGAATGCTCTACTAAATAAAGTCACTAAATATACTTTGAATAAGAAGAAGCTGAATTAACACAGAATGTGGGTTGCCTTTGCTATAATACTGCCATTTTATTTTTCCAGAAAAATAATTTGTTTAGGCTAAAAGGAGGACCAAACCCTGGAAATTCTGATTCAACAGTCAAACAACTCAAATTTCTAAGAATCAATACAGATTTCGATGATTTTCATATCTAAGGCAATTAATTAGATTTTTTTAAAAAATCATGTGCTAGGAAAACTTAAATTGGGTAAGAAAACAAAGGCTGCCAAGTCAAGTCATTAGCTGGATAACTCTCTCCTTACCCAGAGAAACAGTATTAAATCTGGATGTTTAGAAATGCATATTAAAGCAACATCATTAAAAAACAATAACTTCTTTATTTTTTAGATATTTATAGGTGTTTTTACACCTCAAATAGACATTTTAAAAAAATGTTAATATTAACTGATTGTAAAACCTTGGCAGATTTAGTCAGAATTAGTCAGAACTTACATTTAAGTCACCAATAAAAAGAGAGTACAAGTTAGCAAAAGAGATTCAGGATTTTGAAAACCTAAACAAGCTATCTTAAGTATCTAATTAATTGGAAAGTTTAATGAGCACAGACCAGGTGCTTAAACAGTGGTAGGTATACTAGATATCATCATGAAGAAACTTAATCTTGTTGTCAAAACAAAATACACAAAAGACTGTACAGCACTACAAAGTCATGTTGTGCTATAGATGTGCAAACTAAGGCAATATTAACCCAAACTATAATAGTTAGCAAAATCTGGACACAGGAGTTGCAATTGAGTTAGCATGTGAGCACTGGGCAAGAGTCAAGTTGACTTTGGAAAAGGTATTTGGTACAGGACCATTCAAGCAAAGGTTTGACTGTGGGAATAAATGCAATGTGTATTTATGGTAGCTGTGCACTTTCAAACTCTCCCTAAAATGTAAAAAAAAAGAAAAAAAATCATTATTCATGAAAAATGATAGGAAAATAGAGGCTATGGACCTATAGCACTATATCCATTTTTATATTTAAACCCATTTTTATATTTAAAAAAAGACAGCACATTTTTGCTGTGAGCTCCCAGGTCACCTCATAGGAAAAGCTCTAAAATGCTTTTTTACTTTTACTTCTTCCTTTTTAATCACCTACATTTCTTTGACATACAGAAGCTCTCAATATTTCACTCTCCCCAGGACTAATTTTTGGTGCCTCTTAGTACACTGCTACCAGCTTCTTTATATTTAGTAAGCATCTATTTTGTTCTTTAGGATTTAGTTTCCCTTTGCTTTTTAAAAAGTTGCACTTACTGCTATTACACATACTTGGGCATAATTCATTCTCTGTTTCCTTTGATTCTACACTGTAAAACATCACGTTTGTTTTATTCCTACACAGGAGGAAACTGATTAATTTGGTGTCAATTTAGGTTACAAAAGGTTTTATTTCTATTTTGTACTTGTGAGTGGGCTGCTCAACTCAAACATAAATAATTAAAACTCAAACTGCCATTCATTTAATCGCAAAAAAGTAATTCTTCAAGAAAGTAATGGCTCCAGTCCTTCCTTTATCCTCTCAGAGAATGAGAACACTTCCTTACTTCTATTTTACAGAAGAAAAATGGAAATTTAAAGTATTTACCATTTCCAGTTTCTCTGCCTTGAGGCGAACAGAGGGATTTAGGGAAATCTTCTTTCCTTGTGGTCCATAATTATCAGTCCATGCAGGGGCAATATCTAAGAGACAACAGGGTGCACGTTAATTGGAAACTTAATTGGAATAGAACTTTTCATTTGACAGGATGTGTTCTGGGCTCCTGCTGTTCAAAAATAATTCTGGCTAATCAGTTGGCAGTTTTTACTTTTGTTTTCATTTTTTTTTTTTCTTTAAATCTAAAATGTATCATATAAATCACCCTCACTTGAGCACTAAAAGATCTAATACAAAAAGAATGGCCAATTATGCCTTAAATCCCATGGAAATATTAATTTAAAAGACAAACATACATCCTACCAGTACCCCATCATCAAAATGCCTTACTAATTGTAAAGTGAAGCCTTATCTTCCAAAATAAGTAAAATCAAGTTAGGAATTCAAAAATATCATGATATTTCTTTGGCAGAAGCGGTTTTGTTACGGAGTTCTGAAGGTACTATGGAAAAACTTCTAAGTGCAAATTGTTTCAAGTTTGCACATAAAGTATGATGCAGACTAGGAACTTTTGGAACCCCTTACTTTACATTAAGGTTATATTTCAGGAAGCATAGATGGACTTCCACGAGTTGAGTTTCATACACCTCTCACCCGTTCTAATGCCTTCTTAATCTACACTGATGATTTAGATGAGCCTTCGTCCTTTTTGCAGGAATAAGAGATCAGATGCCACAAAGGATTAGACCTTGAAAAATTATTTGTTTTAATATGCCAAAGTATGTAAAACAAATTCTTGTACTTCATGTCAATCCTTGTATCTAAATTGTCACTATTCTAAATACACTTCTAAATGGTATTTTACTAGTTCTACATAGAAACAAGAGGAAGAGAAAAAACTTTTTGAAATGTCACATCTTTATGCAGTGTTTTAATTTTTTTTTAATTTCTCAGAGCATCTGTCTCTAAGTACAAAATGATTTGCATTCTCTTTCTTAAGAACATAAGAAGCGCATATGAAAATAAATAGTCTTCCTCTAAACCTTTAACACATCCTTAACATTCTATGTAAAATCTTGAATATAGCTTATAGGTGTCAAGATCATAAAAAAAAAATGGTTACTGACTTTTAGCTTCAAATGGAATCAAACCTTGAGGAAGAGTGATTTTAGTATAATAGAATTTTTACATTTCTGATAAAAGCAGCAAAATCTCTTTTGTCATCGTGATACTTAATTGTTAGCCACGAGACAAAAAATAGTATATATGTATATATATGTCTTTTTTTCTTTTTTTCTCTTAAGAGAAATTCTGTGCCAAACCTACAGTGTGGCACAAAAGATCAGCATGGAGTAGCGTGGTATAGAAGACCAAAGAGCAGGGAAGTCAAACTTTATTTTTCATTTTTAATGTTTGGATTTGTGAGGCTTGTCAATGACCTTCAGCTTGACGCCTGACCTGCAATTAAGGAACACGAGCACTAGTAGGTGGACCCAAACTAGCCTAATCATGATTTCTGACCAATAATCCTCCTCCTGGGAGTGAAATCCCCTATGCAAGTGTTAAGTATGTGGAAGGGCTAGGGGTGGAAGGGAGACAGAGCAGAAAGAGACAGGGAGGAACAGGGACACACACACAGCAACCACACACACTGAGGCATGCATTCTCAGTTATGTATTCCTATACATAAGCATAAAAATTTGCCGTTTGTAACAGTGGAAATGACAGCAGATCAGCTCTTATTTATGCTTACTTTGAGCCAGACAATGCACTAAGTACTTCATAGAGATGAGCTCATTAAGCTTTACGATAGCTATAATGACATAGGTGTCATTATTGCCATCCCAAAGATGGAGAGATCAAGGTCCCAAAAGGTAAAGAAACCAGCCTATGATCACACAGCTAGGAAGTGACCATGTCAGGATTCTAGTCTCTTGTGACTCCCAAAGCCATGATTCCTAAATGTCGTCAGTATCTTTCATCATGTTTTCTCATCTGTAAAGTAGTTAGAATAAAATAGTGCACCTTACAGAAATTGTAAAGGTAAAATATAGAATCAGAGAAAACTACTATGAACACTAGAGAATATTGTTTGTTTGTGTTTAAGTAGGCTCCACGGCCAGCGTGGAGCCCAACATGGGGCTTGAACTGGTGACCCTGAGATAAAGACCCGAGCTGAGATCAAGAGTCACACGCTTAACAGACTGAGCCACCCACGCACCCTTAGAATATTGTTAATATTAACAAACAGACGTATAACAGGAGATTTAAAGTAAAATTACAGTAACTCCCCCCCCGCCCCGCATATTTAACAATATGCAGTCATGGCTTAACAAAATCCCACTTTCTTTCTGCCAACCTTCCCCTAAACCTGTACCTTTGAGCCAAAACCTCAGGAGGATTTGTGCATAAATCCGGCATGCTTTGGTGATTCAGAGGAGCTTGACCTGAAAAGCTGCTCATAGACAGACAGCTTTCCCCATTTGCTGGTGACATCTCTCAATTCTGGCCTCAAGCTCTTGACTTGCTCCTCTCTGGGGGAGTGAGGATTTTCAAAGGAAAGCTTATTATTCTCTTGGATCTTCTCTTCTATTCCTCTTTTTAGGGGAAGAAAGGGAATGTTTTAAGAGGGCAGGATCAAAACCATTTGGTTTATACCACGAACCCTCTATGGATATTTTCCCCCATCACTATTTTGTTTCAGTTATAAAACCTTAGTGTGGGAGGATTACAGTTTGTGTTCTGGTAAAGTTAAAGTAATGATAATATTTCTTCATGCAATAATTCTTCACTCATTTTTTCAGGAATGTCTGTAGTATGCTTTGAGCTCACAAGTTCATGCATTAGTCAGCTTATAGCAATAGTAAACGACTCTGAGTTCTGAAATAAGACATTTATATAATAGTTTTTAAAAAACATATTCAAGTATTATGGATTTTTAAAATTCTAACCAGTTTTACACTTTGGAATAATTTTGAGATGGGAACATGGGTAGATTTGCTTCAATTCAGTTTGTTTTGTTGAGATTAACATTAAAACTTATTTATATTTTTTGAATAAATACCAACTGGCTGAAGAAGTTTAGATGTGACAGTTAAGGGTCTAATTTGGGAAAAATCTATAATTAAGTGCTTATAACAGACAAATCACAATGTATGTAAGTTACCTAGAGATAATTTGGAGTTAATTTTGTTTTTTTTTTTCCCCCTAGAAAGATCTGGGCTACTACACTTACGTGAAAATAAAAAAATAAGACTACCTCAATGCTAATTCTACCCTACAAAAGTGTTCAATTTTAATTGTATTTTAATATTTACTTTTCAGAAGGAAAAAATGAAACAAGATGGGATCGGGAGGGAAACAAACCATAGAAGACTCTTAATCTCACAAAACAAACAGGGTAGCTCGGGGAAGGGGGTAGGGAGAGGGTGGTTGGGTTATTGACATTGGGGAGGGTATGTGTTATGGTGAGTGCTGTGAGAAGTGTAAGCCTGATGATTTGCAGACCTGTACCCCTGGGGCTAATAATGCATTATATGTTAATTGAAAAAAAATTTTACTTTTCATACAGCTCACTCAAATATATTTTCATTAAATCATTTTTCTATTATAAAATATAGCACTCTTTCTTTTAGTCACTTATGTGAATTTACCTCATTTTATTCATTATTCTGGGATCTCTTCATTCTTTTTTTTTTAACATTTTTATTTATTTATTTGACAGAGAGAGATCACAAGTAGGCAGAGAGGCAGGTAGAGAGAGAGGAAGGGAAGCAGGCTCCCTGCTGAGCAGAGCGCCTGATGCGGGGCTCGATCCCAGGACCCCGGGATCATGACCTGAGCCGAAGGCAGAGGCTTAACCCACTGAGTCACCCAGGTGCCCCAGGATCTCTTCATTCTAATCAGATCTGCTTCCTAGGATGACCTGATATCTAGCTCATCCTTTGTTCTGTGCTTTTGCTCACGGTGCTTCCTTCACTTAGGAAGATCTCCACCCATCAATCGATGTTTACCACTTCTTGCATGATCTGGATGATGTCTGATTTTTGCCAAGAAATTTCTACATGTTGTGACAAATTCTTTACTATGTACTAATTTGGGGGGTGAAGGGAGGATGCAAAACTGAATTAAAGAATGGGAGCTTTTGTTTCCAGTCTAAAAATATCCCCGAAATATTATCTGAGCTACGCTATAGTCAGTGGGTTCTGTAATATTAATAATAACAGCAAAATTTACTGAGCATATGCTATGTACCAATTACAATGCTAAGTGCCTGATATGCATGATCTCATTTAATATTCATAAAGACCCACGAGGCAACTATTTCAAGGTTACACAGCTAATAAGCTGGAAGCGAAGAAAAGAATCTTTACATTTGCATTCAGAGCCTGTGCCTTCCCTACACCACACTCTGGCCACTTCTTTCCTTCTCCACTTTGTTCACATCTTCACACTATCTGGACAAGATAGTATGACCCTTTGAATACAGAAACCACCCGTACCCCACTCTAGTTAACACAGAATACCACAAATGGTAGTTATTCAATAAAATAAACACATACATACATGTTTTCTAATCTGAATGATGAAGGTTTTTTTTTAACCTATGTTTTATTTCACCATAGACTCTTAAGTATCTCATGGAAAATATCCTTATTCCTTCATAATTCCTACTGAACTATGTTTTCTACATACATGACATGTTCGGTAAGTGGTTCTTGAATAAATAAAAGACTAAGAGAGGCAATGAGCAGTCCAATGACTTTCAAAATTAAAATCATGTTACATAAATGTATCCTTACCATTGTTCACTTCTTTCATCTATATTTTTTTTCTTCTTCACATGTGTTCACAGTTTAAAATAAAAACAATACATCAAGAGAATGGAAATTAATTCCATAAAAGGGATAATACTGGGACGCCTGGGTGGCTCAGTGGGTTAAAGCCTCTGCCTTCGGCTCAGGTCATGATCCCAGGGTCCTGTGATCGAGCCCCGCATCAGGTTCTCTGCTCATCAGGGAGCCTGGTTCCTCCTCTCTCTCTACCTGCCTCTCTGCCTACTTGTGATCTCTGTCTGTCAAATAAATACATAAAATCTTTAAAAAAAAAGAATACTAATAAAATTTCTAAGAGTCAAGGAATCCCTCTAAGTAGAAGGGCATTTAATTTACGGCTAGAGATTGCTACCAACCCACTGGTAAATACTGGTCTCAGAGGAAAAAACTGTGGAATCCGCTATAAATTCCCAATAAGTGTGGTGCCTGTGTGCTGTGGTCTGAAAGCCTGTGTCCTCCCCAAATGCCTATTTCAAAATGCTAACCCACAAGGTGATGGTATTCGGAGATGGGGCCTTTTGGGGGGGCTGAGGTCACGAGGGTGAAGCTCTCCTGAATGGGATTAGTATTGTGACTGAAGAGACCCCACAGGTCTCCATGTGAGGATACAATGGGAAGTCTGCAACCTGAAAAAGGCTCTCACTGGGACCATGCTAGCACCATGATCCTGGATTTCCAGCCACCAGAACTGTTAGAAATACATGTCTGCTGTTTATAAGCTACCCAGTCTGTGGTATTTTGTCACAGCAGCCCAAATGGATGAAGATACCATGTACTTTATGTTAATTTGTCCTTATTTTGCAATTCTGATCTAGACTAATGGTATTAAAAATTAAAATATACAGGTAACAACTTACATTATAATTTTTAGACATATGTAATTAACTCTTCCTTTCCTTAAGCATTGGTTTTTGATTGTTGTTGTACTTAATTTTTGGACATAATTTAAAGGGAAAGTTTTTTTCTTGATATTGGAGCTACAAATAGATACTTCACAGTTTGATAAAAAGCAATTTTTTTAATGGGTGGCTCACACAATTAACATTTTATTGTTTTAAAAAGTCAGTAAATCATTTCATGGTAATTATAACTAAAATATTCAATTCATAATACTGATATTCTTTTTAATTTACATCTATACGATCTCTTCTTAAAAAAACCAAAAACATATTTTTTTTCTTAAGCTATGCTCCCATCTATAATTTCTCTGAAAGGTGCATTTAATGAACCTCACCAGTATTTCCCTAAAAGGACAAGGCAACCTAATCTTGATTTAAAGAAGAGTTTACATTATTTGATTTCAACAGTTCATTGATTACTACAGCTTCACAGACACCGTTATGATAATGCATCTTAAAATTTCAACCCTTTGTTCAAGAAAATTTCTAATAAAAGATCTAATCTAACAGGGACCATTGCACAATACATTCATTTTGCTCTTTTATTCACTGAAGGAAAAAAGGCATAATGCACCCTTCTTTAAAGTCTATTAAGTCACATTATGTACTCCTCATTGAGAAAGAGTAATTGAAAGAAATAATAATAAAGAGGAATTAAATGTGCATTTACCTGTATTAGACATATCCGTAGGGCTGTTTCCCGAAGAAGTAATTGGAGTCTGTTCTGTTTTCTTGTATCCAGTTTTCATCTATGAAAGAAAAGGAAGAACATAAAATGTCATTTTCTAAAGTAGGTCAAAGACCAGACTAGAAGCTCACGTTAACATAAAAAGAATGGTTTAAGAGATTAAAGCAGTAATCCAAAAAAATATGAGATCTCTAAAATTTTGTTATATTTATCTCCAAGCAAAGCATTTCAGAATTAAAGAACAACTGCTTTCAGCTCTACCATGTCCAAGGACAACAAAATATTAGGCCACGCACCTTATCTTTGAAAAGGTATTACAACCCCAAATAAAAAAGTATAAGTAAGGGGCTGACAGAAAATCTTACACTCTGTATCTTACTAGCAGGTTCCCGAAACTGAAATTGCCTTTGACAAATTTTATTCCATTGACTGAAAGCCTACCTGAGTTTCCTATTTTGTTTTATAGCTCACATATATTTTAAGAGTACATGCTCTATTTTATAACTTTGACTTTTTAGGGCCCTGTTGCAATTAGTAATCAACTGTCGATTCTGATGTAGAAACTCCCTCTTCTGGGTGAGTCTACTGGGGTGAACTAGGTATTAGCATGCACACGTGAGGGAACCATAGCCACCTACACTGGGTAATTAGGATTAGCCTCATTGTGCAAGAGAAAAAGCTAAGGAACAAGAAGGAAGACTGACTGTCTTCAGTCAAGCAGGCAACAGAAATAAGAATAAATTAAACCATATTAGAGATTTTCTGAAAATAAATATGACATTCCTAACATAGTTTTGAATGACAACTAGACATATCTCCTCGAGGCCATTCCTGATCATGACTTTCCGGACAAAAGACACACTGACTTGAAAAATTATATTATTGATAGCACAGTATAAAAATATTAAACAGAAAAAAAAAGAAAAGCACTTTCAAGGAAATATAAATCTGTTAAAAAAAACTACACTAACAAAATTAAAATTCTATTGCATATAACAAACATAAAAACATACAGGGGATTTACGGACTACATAAATATACAGAGAAATGTAAGATTACCTGATTTATCCTAAAAGAAGGTAAAATGGTATCTGTAGTTTGGGGAGTAGATGAGGTCTTTGGAATTAGTGTTTCAGGGGGAGATGGAAGAAGGCTAAATGTCGAGACTTGAGGTCCATATTCTCCTGAAGCTTGTAAAAGAGATGTACAAGATGGATTTCCTGGATGACTGCCATCAGATTTTTGTCTTATGAATGCTATCTCCCAAACAGATTCTGACCTAGCATTAAAAAGAAATCACTTTATGGATATAGTGTGGATACAGTACAGCTGAATTTTAAGATAATGTTTCAATTATTATTAAAATATACTTGTTTTGGGGGTGCCTGGGTGGTCGGTTAAAGCAGCCAACTCTTGATGTCAGCTCAGGTCACAATCTCAGAGTTGTGAGATCAAGCCCCATGTCGGATTTTGCTGCTCAGTGAGGAGTTTGCTTGAGATTCTCTCTCTTCCTCTGCCCTCCCCCACCCGGCTCACATGCATGCTCTTTTAGGATCTAAACTATTTAAACCTCTTAAGTTACTGTTTTTGAGAAGACATGCTAATTAACTCATTCTATTTTATGAATAGGATAGTTACCTCAACTTGGCTCTGGTAATTATGCTTTTTGCTTCTTCAAAGGATACACCAATCATAGATTCCTTGTTTATTGAGACAAGTTGATCTCCTGGCTTCAAACGTCCATCCTAACAAAAGTAGTAATAAATATAAAGGAATTAATAATGATGGTGTTTAAAAAAAGAAACAAACTGATGCAACTAAACAAAAAAAAAAATTTAGTAAACAGTCTTTCTAAGAAGGAGTAAAAAGAAAATCTTAGACAAAAAAACCTCACTAGCAAAAAGTTTTTACTAAAGCCTGGTTTGCTTACATACGGAATGAAATGGAACAGTTCCTGTATATGTGAGCTGAATTTGCACAGTAAGGAATCCTGAAGACACACATGAAGACATAGCCAGGTACACCAGGAAAAGACCCATTTTAAAAGGTTGGTACTACAGTGCCTGGGTGGCTCAGCTGGTTAAGTGTCTGCCTTTGTCTCAGGTCATAATCCCAGGGTTCTGGGAATGAGCCCCCTGTCAGTCTCCCTGCTCAGTGGGGAGTCTGCTTGTCCTCTCTTAAGACTCCCTCTGCCCCTCCCCGTTCTCTCTCTCTCTCTCTCCAATAAATAAACAAATCTTAAATAGAAATAAAAACACACTTACTGCTATCTCTCAACACTGAATACTGAGTACACAGGAAGATATATAAATAAATATAAAATATTAATCAAAAAAACTTCATGGAAACATGTTATTTCAAATGCTATGTAAAAGAAACTATCAACTAAATGCATAATGACTCTATGACCTGTCTAAATTACAAACATTATTTTAAAAATTACACTGAAAAAGGAAACGATTTTAAAATACATAAAATTTAGAAATTTGTATTTTATTAATATAACTAGTAAAGTGAGAGAACACAATACAATTGCTATATTCACTATATTTTGCTATATAATATGCTGTATTTTTTCCCTTCCACTGATTAATGTATGAGGAGTAAAACGCAATAGTAATGCTGGAAAAGACTAAGCAGTATGGAGAAAGCATCCACCATAGGGATCCTACATGTTCAGTTAAATCAAAGAGCTGATTTTGTAAAATTTTGTAAACACAGTTCTGTACTGCTTGGGTCCAAACCTTAGTACAGAGTTCGGTTACATATGCATTTAAATCAACTCTACCAAGACATACTCAGACATTCACATACATTAGCTTGCAATTTAATATGTGAAATTTTACCTTCAGGACGGTTAACTCAAGGTTAAGATGAAATGGCAGTAAACAAGAGAAACAACCTGTTTCTTTTGCCACAGGCAATAGGATAAGGCTAATAATAGGGGAGAATGAACAAAATCCCAGAGTGCTTATTTCCAGGAGGAAGGGTGGGGAATGTGGGGAATGTGATCAGGAATGCCTCAGTAGCACTTAAGATTTTCTACTTTTTAAATCAAGTGGTGAATGCTAAGCAGATTCATAGGTGTTCATTCTATTATTATGCTTCATTTACATGTGTCAAGTATCACATTATAAAAAAGAAAAGAGGGGCGCCTCGTTGGCTCAGTTGGTAAAGTACACAACTCTTGATCTCAGGGTGGTGCGTTCAAGTCCTATATAGGGCAGGGAGTCTACTTAAAAAAATAAAATAAAATAAAATAAAAAAGAAATTCTCCATCTCCCAAAATAAAAAGAGCTCATAATATCTGCCCAAAATTAATTAGGCTGAATTGTGTTTGGTTCTATATTCCAAAACTGTTCTTGGAAATAAGGGTCAAATGGAGAAATTTTTAATCTAATTTTAAAATAAGTATATTAATAAATGAGTCAAATTAAATAAATGCCATTATTAAATCCAGCTCTAGCCTATTTGGAATCTACAAAGGAGTTCCTTACTAGAATCAGCTTAATAAAGTAGATTACAGCTGAAATTTAATGGCTATACTACTATTGACTTGTATCACAAAGCCTAGCAACAATTTAGGAGAAAAAGTGGAGAAAATGAAGAAAGCCCTGTTTCATTGGAGCAAAGCATACAAAGGCCATTGACAAGGAAAGAAAGGATTTTTTAGAATCGGGGTGGCAGACAGTAATAACAGTAAATATTGTCAGGTGACAATTTTTTCAACTGGCAGGAGACTTCAGAAGGCAGTGGACAGACGTGGAAAGAACACAAGGTTTGGCAGCCAGACAGACCCAATACAAACCTGAGCTCTACAACTTGCTAGCTAGATGTTCATAAACAAATAGAGGAAGAGGAAAGGGGCTGGGGGAGTCACACAGTCTCATCTACAGAACTACATTCAAAACTGTTGGAGGTAGCTCCTGTGTCCACGCCTCTCATACATACCACAGCTGCTATCAGGGTTGCAGAGAAAAAGGCTACAGAAAACAGAGGTAGGCAATAGGATTTCGGTAGACCTGCTATCTCCTACATCCTCCTTTCAGACGTATTAGCAACACAGCGGGAAAAGCTCTCATGAACACAACATGTATCTTATATTACAGTACACTGATGTCCAGCAGGACAAGGGTCAGAGAAGAAAGGAAGAATAATGCTTTCTGATGGTGGCTTCTGGTGTTTATATATATTTTTTCTCCCTAAAAAGTATTTACAGTGGGTTTTTTTTTTTCTTTGCCTCCTAGAACAAGATCTTAGCTGATCGTGTGAATTTCTGAACCTGTTTAAAAGTCAGAACCTGCAAACTCAAGCAAAGCTATTTCTGTTGGAGTCTGGCATTCAAACCAGTGAGCCCTGCCCCAGTTGGATGAATGTATATGTGAAGATACTAACTTTGGGGACATGCTGAGGCTTCTTCCATACTGTCTGGGTTTGGATACAGCAGTTACTGAGCAACTGTACAACTTTCACGTGCCCTCCTTCCACATGTCAGGTCTGCATTCTTTCCCATCAACATCTACAAAAGCGTTAAAAAAGTAATAAAGTACTCAAGACCATGTACATATTTCTACTGAAAACTACCTGTGCTGTTCACTTATAATGACCATTATATAGTTTTCTAAATAACATGTTACTATATTACCGTACCATGGACACGGACTGATTCTGATTTAACTAACTCCTTAGTCCTAAATACTAAGGAATGCTCCTGCAAGACTTCTGGTTCCTTTCCCACACTTTCAGAAACTGTCAACTTCTATAGCCTGCCAGTTATTAATTTGCACTTAGGCAAGTTGCATAATCTCTCTGAGACTTGATTTTCCTAGCTGTAAAGTGGAGATAAATACCTGTCACGCAAAGTTGCTATTAGTAATTAAATAACATACATAAAATCCTAGCACATTGTAGGTGTTAAATAAAAATGAGTTGAATCAAAACTCCGTGCCTGCTGTAATTCTCACGTTGTTAGCAAATTTAGTCCTGTTACTCCTCAAATTAAGAACCTTTAGGGATGCCTAGGTAGATCAGTCAGTTAAGTGTCGGGCTCTTGATTTTGGCTCAAGTCATGATTTCAGGATCGTGAGATCAGGCTCCCTGCTGGGTGTGGAGCCTGCTTAAGATTCTCTCTCTCCCCCTGCCCCTACCCGCCTCCTTCTCTTAAAAAACAACAAAAACCTTTAATGGCTGTCCATGGGTAAGAAAAGTTGAAACTCCTTAACTTTGCAAACCCAGCACAACAAGCTAGCTGCAACCAACTTTTTTCAGCCTTCCTGAAAAAAGCCTCACTTCCCTCCTCAACACATAAATGTTTCATTTGAGTCTCAAAAATGTTCTTCAAACCAGCCATGGTCTTTGGAACCTTAATGCTTTTACACATCCTAATTCCTGTCTAGAATGCCACCACCAACCCTGCCACTTCTGATAAACTCGCGCTTAAACTTCACAGCCAAACGCAAACATTTTCTCTGCGTTGTTTGCCCAACTGCCTCGAAATACTTAATTGTTCCTCTCTCTCTGCTCCAAAAGCACTTTAACTTACCTCTGTTATTATATTTACTTTGTACTGTCCCTGTTTACATATCTTTTTTTCTCCCATTAGAGCACCTTAATCCACCCATTTCCAAACTAACAGCACTGATTATTTCAGTCGGCCAGAACCATATCCTTTTCACAAGTTTTTCCCCCAGCATAGTGCCGGGTACAGAGTAAGTCCACAATCAGCTGATCAGGGGCAGGAAACAGTCTGAGGAAGTTAAGGTGGCTCTGACAGAAGTAATAATGGCAAAGGAGAGAAGAGAGTGACTTGTAAAGTGAATGCTCTTGGCCGCTACTCCTTCCTTCAGCTCCCAACAATGGGACTGGTTTCTTGACACTGTGTCATCCAGAGGCTCCCAGGGATATGCTCAGCATATTCTGAAACCAGACTTCTTCTGACAGATAAAGATGCCTAACTTCAACCCTTTGTGAACAACGACCAACCATTAGTATCTTACAGCTGCATGATCATTGTCTTTATCTGTAGAGTTTAACCCCCCCCAAAGGCCTGAATTTATAAAATTTAAAGTGACACTTGTAAAATACACCATTATTTTATGTAGCACTAAAATAAGAAAATGCTAAAAGAAAATGAAACTGATTGTTAAGACTCATCTCACAGAGCTTGTTTGTGTTTTATTATATGTCTTAGAATCAGTTAAATGAAATATAAAATGTAGTATCAGGTTTGAGGAAAAGCTTTTGATTACTGCCTGCTTTCCTTACACTAATAGCAGGAAACAAAGGCACAAACAAAAACATTTGAAAACTCCAAAGACATTTTGTGTTCAGAATCTGACACAAAGGGCCAGGGAAGAGAGGTACTTGGTATGGAGCCAGATGGTGGCAGTGGAATAGCAAACAAGGAGATTAGTAACTCTCAGAAAGATGACCGAATGCCTAAGGGGTCATTCATTCATAAATATTAACTGAGCAATTAGTATGTGCCTGGCATCATACTGGAGATGAAGGATATTATTATGAACAAAACTTTTTGTACTTAGGAAACACACTGTCTTCTTGTTCAGACAGACTTGATAACACCACTACAGATATGGATGCATGTTTACAAGCTGAGACAGGTGATACAAAGGAAAGGAACAGGATCTAGGAGCACATATAGGAGAAAAGATCTGGAATAAACTGGGGGCACAGGAGTGCCAGGGTGGCCCAGTCGTTTAAGCATCTGTCTTCGGCTCAGGTCATG